TGTACAATTACAACAAAGATTGACTAAAATCAACACACCATGCCCCAAGCAAATGAAATGATTTTGGAGAGTGAATGAGATTTATTCTGAAATATTTGTGAAAACTCTGTCCTGATACCTAACACATCTCTTTTTCTCAGTCACTTTTAATGTTTCCTTGCCTGTTATCTAGCGTTCCATGATTACATGATATATTATCATGGGTTAACTAGTCATTATTTAGCCAGCATTATCTGTATGCAGCAGCATTACTCAACTTACACAGTTTGTTAGGAAGGAAACGCTATAAAGTTTTTAGCTTTTCAACTTTTGGCCTTTATACTAAGACTTTGTTTCTTATCATTTCATTTGCTTGGGGCATGGTGTGTTGATTTTAGTCAATCTTTGTTGTAATTGTACAAAAAAAAATTCATTCCAGAACAGCCTGTCTGACTTGTATCCACTTGTATTCAAGTGATTTCACTTTAAATAGGCCAGGCAGTAATCAGGCATAGGTGTGGTAGTGAAATTTGAGAAGTTTTATGATAAAAGAAATTTTGCTTGATGATCTGAAACATGTGACAAACCAAACAAAAACAGAAGAAATCCGTAAGGAGTTAAATACTTTTTACAGCATTGTGTTGATGTGAACAACTTGTACAATGTTTATGTACAAATTATGAAATGCTGGACTTCTTTGTGTCTTTTTCCAAAGGTCAAGGATGAAGGCTCTGCGGCGTCAGAGCAGATCAGGCCTTTCTGGGGTTGTGATACCAAACTGCTCAGAGATGACTCAGTCTGGAGAAGTCTATCTGGATTGTCAGGACCAAAGTCTCACCTCTATCCCCAGCTCAAGCACCTGGTCCAGAGTACCTAACCACCTCCTTCTGGCCCGCAACCAAATTAAGGCGCTCCGCAGTGGATCCTTCCTTGGATATGAACGTTTATCCAGTCTGGATCTTCAACAGAATCAGATCTCGCAGGTGGAGGAAGACGCTTTTCAGGGTCTAACTCACCTAACCACCCTGCTGCTGCAACACAACCAACTGAGAACGCTCAGCGAAGAGGCGCTCATCCCAATGCCAAACCTTCACTATCTGCGTCTCTACGACAATCCCTGGAAATGTCTCTGTCCAATGGAAAGCCTCATACGCACTCTTCAAGTCCCAAGCAACCGTAACCTGGGAAACCATGCCAAGTAAACGATGCCACCAGATATTTAATAAGAGCATTGTTGATTTACTGTTAACCTGCAAACATCTCATGTTCCAGGTGTGCAGAACCGGTCAGCCTTAAGGACAGGAAGCTGAAGCAGATTGATCCCGACTTACTGTGCGAGGAATTCGGCCCAAACGTCAACGTCACTCAGACTTTGGAGCCCAATCCGATCCGCGGCAAATTAGACGCCACCGCGCTGTGCCACACTTACCTTTTCCCCGTCACATGGATGGACTGCAGGAGCCGAGGCAAGTTCAAGATCAGGCTGTATTCCCAAGGGTCAATTTGATTAATGTCTCTCTATCGTAAGCCCGAAAACTGGTCCTGTAATTCCCAACACATGGTCTTATGTAACAGAGGGGTTAAGAAAAAATACAAACTGTCACAGAGCAGATGATTCATAATTACTGTTGGATTGCTGGAAGAGCTGAACTTTTCTTTTGAAAGAGAAGCATTTTCATAGTAAGACATAAAATGAATCAATGCACATCTGTCGTTTTTCAGTGCTGAGTCAGCTACTCCTTTAAATGCTGATTAATGTCAATTTATTAGCACCTTATCTGGTTGGAGAGAGTTTTGGCCAGTGTATTACAATAAAAATATTTAGATTTTTCATGTAAATGGACTAAATCAGTTATACGTTACTATTGTGTTACAGCCTTCTCCTAGGCTTATTTGAAGCTGCAGTTTGTCTCTTCTGCAAGTCACAAAAATGTGGATAAAAAAAGTTGCATTTTAATAAACGTGCTCACCCCTTTCTGTGTGTGTTTAGGTCTAACTGAGGTGCCTCCAGGTATTCCAGACAATGTTGTTCGGGTCGATCTGTCCCTCAATAAAATCCATCATCTCAAACCCAGAGATTTCCACGGAGCAAAAAGCCTCAGAATCCTAAACCTCAGCAGCAACGACATGCAGCGGATCGACACAGGTGGGCGTTACCCCCCATGCTCACAGATTCATCAAGATTACTGGCTATAACAACATGTCCTGTATGTAATCATCACGGTAATACCGAGAATGAATTGCTACACATATGCAGTTGTGTTTATCTCCATCTGGAGTCCAAAAGGTGGGGAACAGCTAAACAGCCTCTGTGGCTTCAGTTATCCCCTTTTTCATTTTGAGCAGTGGCAGGCATTCAGCCATACATGTGTATACAGGCTTAGCTTTATTTATGACGAGGTATACAAGGAGATGTGCTTACATGTAGCCTCACTGTGTTTGAGTAAATCACGGCCCACTGGTACGAACTGAACTTAACATCAGCAGACCAGCAGCTAATGCCGCTGGCTGCTTAAACTGAATTTAACTTAAACATCAGAACTTGGTTCTGGGAAGGACGTGAACCTAATCGTGCTCTGTGACCTGTCCATCTACTGGAAGCAAAACAAACTAGTACCAGTGTAAAGCTGTGTTCACAGAATCACCCATTAAGTTAATCACAGTTTTTTGGTAGAATTGTTATTTCTGCATGCCAAATAATGACCTAGTAGGAACAGAAGAGTAACGGGAATCCCAAAGCTGTAACATCCACACTGCAGATTCTGTGCCAGCGAGGGGTTTGTCCAAAGTAATAACAGTATCCAGCAAGATCTTTCCCTCTGAGACAAAACAGGAGCCAAATTGGCAGACAAGCAGTTCTCCTGTAATGGTGCCATTTCCATATTTAGCAGCATGTACACTAACTTGACTGACAGTGCTAAGATCTTCCTCCTGGCTCTGATTGGTTGTTTTTGACCGGGAGCTGTGCATTTCTTCAGACGGCAATAATAACTCGAGACGGAGGAGGAGCTTGATTTTTTCACAGCTTATCTGTCCAATATTATACTATAACAACATGGTGACATTTTTAATAAATATAGAAAAATGAACTTTGAAAAAGTTAAATACTGCAGCTTTAATGTTGAAATCTGGGGAAAACGAGCCAATCCTGACATTGTTCGGGAACCTTGATTAAAAAGTTGATTTGATCGAGTGAAATACCTGAAATAGTGCCAGAAACGATCGGATGCTTGACGGACTGAATTCAAACACAAAACCTGATGCAGACTGTTGTACTGTATCGACAGAAAGTGAGAGAAAAAAATCTTTATTAGAAACAAATAACTTGAGTCAGACCAGTCGGAAGAACTGACTGGCCTGACTCAGATGGCTCGGCTCCAACTCTTCTTCTTCTACTTCTCCTTGTAGTTCCACTGGCGAGTCCCAGAGCTCGGCGTCCCTTTGGTTTTGATCCGGTCTGCCCTTTAATCCCTCTTAATGGATTAAAGAGCATCCAAAGGGCATAGACTTAGTCACTGATCATTTCCAGGGTAATCAAAGAATGGTTAAAGTGAAAACTATAACCATCAACAGACCCAATGTGAAGTCAAGCTGATGGCAAAAAACCTCTACAAGCCTCTGAAAACTGGCTGAAGAGAAAAGAGCACATTTACTGGTCTTAAAAGAAACGGTGCAGAGGTCCCTCAAACATTAAATTCATGCCACAGTGCACTGTGAAGCATGGTGGCTCAGGCATCATGATATGGGAGATATTTTACAAAGTCTGGTGTTGGGCCTAATTGTGTCTCACCGGCATCTTGGTTCCAGACCTACAAAATGAATATTGCAGAGTGGAAAGCCCCTTGAACTTTTATCCAACAGCAAACATGTGGGCAACATAAAATATGCTGCTTCTGGGTCAAAAACCAAGAAATGCAGGAAAGTGGAATGTAACCAAATTGTCCTTGGCTGCAATAACAGCTCTCCGGTACCAGAAGCTGGCCGGCCATAAAACACAGATGCAAAGTAGTTCTTAGAAACAGTGGTAAATTAGAAACTGTTATTTTTTTTTATTGCTCAAAGTTTCCATCACTTTCTTCAGAATAAGAACACAATTGATAAACTTCTCTTCTCGTTTTGCTTTGGAATAGAATGTACTGTGTCATTATGTGTCTAAAAGCAAAAGCTATAAGGATTTTGAACTTTAATTTATTTAACTTGAAACTTGTAAATTTCAGCTTCTGCACAAAACTAGGATGCATAAATAATTTTCATCCTTCAGTCCCTCATGCAATGAAAACGGATGAGAAATAGAACTTCTTGTGTTTTAAAATGTTTGTTGGTATGGTGGTATATTTGTTTATGTTGGAGCGAGCGCTTCTTCTTAGGAGTGAGTCACTGATCTACTGTTTTGTAGGTTCCCTGTCTGGTCTTTTACACCTTCAGGAGCTGGACCTGTCATCCAACAGGCTGCATTTTGTTCAGTATGGAGTTCTGGAAGATTTGTACTTTTTGTCCAAGCTCAAACTAGGAGGAAACCCTTGGATGTGCGACTACAAGTGAGTTCTACTCCCAAACCGCTGACAAAGACTCCAAAGACTTATTCTAACAGTTGCTTACTTTTTCTTCCCCCCCCCAGTATTCACTACATGGTTTACTGGCTACGTCTGCATCCAGGGGTGAAGCACTCTGGCCTGCTGTGCCAATCTCCTCTAGAATATATTGGGGAGCGAGTGGAGGACTATGTGCGTTCCTACAACAGAGACTGTCCTAAGGACAGACAGCTCAGCCGACCGGATCAAAACCAAAGGGACGCCGAGATCTGGGACTCACCGATGGAACTACAAGGAGAAATAGAAGAAGAAGAGTTGGAGCCGAGCCATCTGAGAGCGCCACAAAAATACCAGATCTTCCGACTGGCCTGACTCAAGTGATTTGTTTTTAATAAAGACTTTTTTTTTCCCCCCACTTTCGGTCAATACAGTACAACAGTCTGCATCAGATTGCTATGTTGCATTTTGATTTTTCCTTTTCACAGTTTGTCAGCTAATTCGTAATATAAACAGTCCCACTGCAGCTGGTTTGACTTTCGCATTTTAAACAGCACGGCTTACGTTTGATCACCTGTGGATAATGGCACAAGTAAAAGACATAAGAAGCCATAAATAAAGTAATTAAAACTCACTGATATATTTTAAGCTGGACCATTTTGTCGACTGGCAGCCGCGCATGTTCAGGTGGGTCACAAAGGGCCGGTAGCTCTTCAGGATTTTCTGCACTGTAGCATCTGTTACCCAGTCTCTCCCCACCGAGAAGTTAATCTAGCAGAGACAAAAACACTTTAGGCATAAACCTTCACCACTGTGCTAATAGTATTCAACCCACTTCAGCTTTTCCAAATTATGTAACATTATAAAACACAATGACTTACAGATATTTCGAGATATCTTGATAAATATCAAGTTGAAGGAGATATTTATTTGGCTTTGAATTATTTTATAAATCAAAAGCTGAAACGCATCGCCTTCATATGTGTGCAGCTCCCTGAGTAAACTTTGTGTCAACATTTTCTGCACTTCATACTGACGTCCCTATCAGGTTTGCACATCCAGAGAAATACATTTATGCTCATTCTTCTTTGTAAAATAGCTCAAGCTCATTCAGTTTAATTTATTTGCTCAGATTCTTAATTGGATTTCAGTCTAGACTTTGACTGGGGCTTTTTAATGGACAAATATACTTTAATCTGACCCATTGCTTTGTAGCTCTATGTTTTAAGTTAGTAGCTGTGCCATATTCTTTCTATTTCCAGATAATGGATTCAAAAGAGCTCTCTGAAATATTTAAAATGTTGTATATTTTATTAGCTAACCTTGCTGTAAACTTCTCCCTGTCCCCGTCTGCTGTGTTCATTAGTCTTCATGATACTGTTTGCTTTCTATTGTTCTTAAATGTACTGCTGTATTTACATTGGGATTAAATTACAGACAGAAAAAACAAAAGAGCTAGTCATCACTTGACTTCTGATGGATTTTATTTGGGGTTTTTACAGTTAAAGGGGTCATGTTGTAAAACTATGACAGTCTTTAAAAACTCCTACTACTATTGTCATTTTCCTTTATTATGTTTTGGGGTTTTTTTATTTAGTCTGTCACATAAAACCCTAATAAATGGCACTGAAGTTTGAATTTGTTAACGCTATGGGTAACACTTTATTTGAAGGGGGTTGAATAAGACTGTCATGACACAGTTATAAACATGACATAACACCTGTCATGAACATGAATAAGCCAAGAAATCATTACTGATATAAATTTGTTATAAAAGTATTACTGATTTCACTTTAAAAATTAGGTAACTTTATGTTATTAAAGGTAAAGTTTAAACAGTAATGATTTCTTGGTTAATGTCAAGTTGTCATAACAAAGACATTTTGAATAATGTCAACTTTGTATTAAAAGTGTCATAATTTACCGAATGACGCTTTATGACAACAGTCATAAATATTCATGAAGGCTTGTTCATGTTCATGACAGGTGTTATGTCATGTTTATGAAAGTGTCATGATGGTCTTATTCACCCCCCTTCAAATAAAGTGTTACCCAGCTATGAAATTAAAAACCTTAACGAGCATGAATACTTATTTGTGCTCATCCACTATAAATATACGCAGCAAATTTCACAGCACAGACCTGACTCCACAATGTGCCTGAGTGGACGATCGATTTCCAGGTATTGGACACCTCAGAACAGTTTAGCCAGTCCCTTAATCCTAAATACTGAAAGATCTGAGGAAAAAAAAGAGATTTACGCAAGTGATCGTTTAGAAAAGTTTCAGCCAAAAGATACTGGCACAGAAATTCAGACAAAAACTATGAGGCAACTTTGATGCTGACAGATTGATAGTTGTCCCTGGGTTTTACAGAACCCAGTCTGGGTACTGACAGCACCCAGACTGGGTTCATCATCCCTTTTGCCACTTTTTATGGCAGAGATATGTACACAAGCAGCCTCTGTCTATTTCCAAACAAGGTCATGCTGAAGCTGTATTTATCAGGCGAGACGTTCTACAGAAACACCAGGGTAAGGAAGGCCAACAGAGCTCTCACTTTGCCAGCAGCTGTGAATCTAAAACAAACAAAGGCTAAAAGTGGAGCGAGCAAGCGTGGCTAATAATCGACCAAGTTAAAACGGCTCATACTTTAGTGTATATAAATGATGTATAAATATATGCATGAGACTGTAATAAAACTATAATGATCGGCACCTGAGTTTAATCACTCAGAGAGCCTGCATGCAGGGTTACAGCAGAGTTCACACACAGCCTTATGTAACACAAATTATCTCATCACTGACTCCTTGCAGAGGGGAACAGAGTAGCTGGAGCTTCGACGTGAAGACCAGGATAATCCTAATAATACTATCTAAACAAATGAAATGGTGAGAGCTGCAGATGAGATACCTTCAGTGAGAGGTGATGAGGGAGCTCTGCGATTCCATCAATTCTTTTCTCATGCACCGCAACCTGAGAAGACTGCTGACTTTTACCGTCGAATTCTTCGACATTTGCCTCCAACTTCTGCCAGAGTCATACAAGTACCAGAGCCGGTAAATGAGAAAGCAACTTATGTTTAACATACTTTCAGAGGATTATCTTTAGTACCTTGAAATACTCTCTTTGCCTCTTTGAATCCATAGCAATGATGTGCCAAGACGTTATGTAGCGCTTGATGTAGATTTTGTCCATCAGACTCTGAAGTTTCATAATGAAGTCTAAATTAATGAGAAACGTTTCTTTAACAATGAACTTGATATTACAAAAAAGAAAAAAAAAACAACTTGACTTTTTTATACCTAACTGAATAGTCTGCCAGTTTATGTTTTCAACAATGATGATAGTAATAGTATTTCTCTGGACGCTCTGGCTTCCCAGAATATGTTTGGTAATCATGACTGTTTACAGTAATGAATTGATTACTGTAAATTGTCCTTAGGTGTTAGTTTAATATGTGGGTGTGTGTGCGTGTGTGTGTGTGTGTGTGTACTTGCTCAGCTATCCTACTTAGGATGATTTCTGGCATATGTACTGACCTTCTGAAGACCAAGAGGCCTTAAAAGTGCTGTTTTTGGGATTATGGGTTAGGTTTAAAACGAAGGTGTGAAGTGAGTTAAGTTTAGCATAAAAGTCAGGGTTAGGCTATAGAAATAAATAAAAATGAATGAAAGTCCTTGGGAAGATAGAAAGATGTACTATGTATGTGTGGGAGAGCGTGCACAGTTGTGTGTGTGCCTCAGCGTTGCCCTGCGTCGAAATGCCGACCTGTCTAGTGTGTCTCCAGCCTCTTGTCCCCTCTAAAAGCCTCAAATGTCTGCTGTAACCTTTTATTAATTTAATTCTGAAATTTATGTTTTTGCTCGCTCTATTCTGCTCTGTTGCATTCGAAATCTATTATATGCTGAGGTCATGCCATTCTCACCCTGTTATGAGAGTCTTGGTTTTAGCCCTAGTGCGATTCATTAAAAGTGCAGTGTAGGGAAGGAATATTACTTTGGCATGATATTTTCTCCAAAAAATAATAAAACAGTAAAAAAAGAAAAATCAGCAAACATGCCCCCAAAAAGTTCAGAGTTTATTTCCAGTCTCCAGCTACATTCAGGACAAAATGAGTCATCGAACTGGAACAAACCAACAGCATCTGGAAGGATTTTCAGCTTGGACATATTTAACCACAGCAAATGTTTTCTCTGGCTTCACTAACTGGAATGGGACGCGTTTCAAAAACAATAAATCAACAGCATTCATTATAATTTCTCACTATCACCTACCTGCTCTTCTCGTCTTCAATGACCTCACAAAGTTCAGCCATCCAGTGAATACAGCGTTCTGGCACCTCTTCTCAGCATGCGTCTTTGCCACCTCCATCTGCAGAGCCGTCTCTATGGCTTCTTCTTTCCTCTGCTGGATGAACTTCTTCCACGCCCTGTCACACCACGGCAGGCACAACTCATCAATAATTCAGCCAACAGGGACAAAAGAGAGGCCGGGAGGGGTCCCAGCATTAATTATACAGGAGTCGGTCCAATCCAATAATATTTGCCAATCAAATCTATTTTATGTTCTGGAGTTTTACTGTTAGGCAACAGGAGACACAATGATAACAGAGATGACTTCCAGTGACATAGAGTGTCCACATAAAAGTCATCCACTGCTGAAATTATTCAGAGAAAGAAAAAGCATTTAAAACATATGGATTGCCAGCAACAGGAAATGTAGGGAATAAAATAGAAGTGCTTTCTGTATGTATGCTTCTTCTTTGTATTTAATTGGTAATAACCAAGTACTGGATGAATACAGCTTCTTCACAAAACCTCCTGATGTCACCCTTCACGACAACCAAATTTTTATCCAGCAATCCGATCACCATCCATATTGCCTCCTTTCAAATGACATACCCAATGATAGTCCTCCTGGTGGATGCAAAGACACTTTCTGGAGTGTTTCCAAAAGCAGTCATGTTCAGTCAGGCTATGAGCAGAGCAAATTCCCCTCGAGCAAATTCTCGGGTGATTCAATCATAAAACCGTAGCTGTTTTTGACTGCCCAACCCAAGATTCCATCTTCTTTTCAAAGAGAAAATCTAGTTCAGGTCCTCTAAGTTACATGTCAAAGGACCTTAAGGCGAAATACATGCCTGTGTTTTCATCTGGTGCTGACAACAGTAAGGGATTCCACAGAGTGGGTCGATCTCGTGTCCTTTCTCTACACAAACCCCCATCTTTGAATTACTTCATACCAAAAAATTATATCTACGTTCCAAATTATAAAGGCACAAACAAGAAGAAAGCATCAAAGTCCTTTGATGCTTACAAATCCAGTGTTGGCAAGTTCCTTTTCCTAAATGGTGGCTATGAAGATGCAATGAAAGCTGGCTTGCTAAAACCCATAAGCCAGCCAGACGGCTTACAGACGCTTTCTGAAACCATGGAAACGGAGCCCACTAACTTTGCCTCTTGGCCCTTGGAGCTGTTGACTGAACCCAGAGAACTGCATCATCTGGAAGAAGACAAAATGTTCTTCTCACCCAAAGCCCCAAAAATCCTCCCGCTCCTCTGTGAACGCATATATCAAGTCCAAAAACCGCTCTACAGGGGCGACGACGTTCTTGACAAGGACCTGTTACAAACGGACAAGGCTAATAAACGGCAATGGAAATCTGCTCTAAGATATTGTATATAGATACTGTTCACACTTTAATTTGCAAAATGACTTAGAAAAATTGTGAAGAAAGCTTCCTGAAGTCACAAAATGATATGTCACGTGTTTATATATATATATATATATATATATATATATATATATATAAACTTCACTGAGCTTGTAACTTGACTTTCTTTTCTTTTGGTTTTGTTTCCAGATCCAAACCACATTTTTGGTCATCAGAGAAACTAGAAGGAAGAGTGCTGATTTCTACAGTTTTTGTTTCGTCATGCATGCAATGTAATTCTCAGAGATGAATTTCCGGTTGCAAATATCAAAAGCAATAATCTCCCATATTTGAGTGCAGGGAGAGTTTGTAATTCTTGACGGCACAAGTGTAGACCTACCTGAAGCATGCACCCAGTAAGTGTCTCACGTAACAAGAGACGGCCTTTTCCATTTGACAATACAGCTCCTGCAAAGCACATGAATGCCTAAATTAAAATTTATTCACTTCCAAAATCTGTATTTCACTATTGAATACTTGTAAAATACCATTTGGGCGCTTTGGGAACTTGCGTCCACAGCTTTGAATTTCAGAGAATCTTTTGTAATGAACTCGTTTACATAATCAATAAATTCTTGCCTGCAAAACAAACAAAAGAAAAAAACTTTCATTAAATTGTATGAATTTATGCTTGATTGCAAGGAAAACTCCAGAGTTAGTGCTCCCCCTTTATCCAAGATAACTTCAACTTTCAGTATAAGGAAAAGCATGACAAAGGGAGCCACCAAGTGGTTGTTTTATCAAATGTAGGAGGCACATACCAGTCGACAGTTTGCAGATTATCATGTCCCTGGAATGCAATAAGCACTCTTTGAAGGAACTCCACTGGTTCATTGGGACAAATCAGACAGGCGGCTGACAATAATGCCTGTTGAAGGAAAGTAGATCAGTGTTTTAAAGCCAGTTTTAAACGTTCTTGAACTTGTATGACTACCCATATCTCCTTCGATGCTTATACTTAGACTTTTCCACGTTTTCCTACCTTGCTCATTTGTGGGAGGCATTGTTTAATTTCACTCATCTTCAAGCTTCTGTCTGTCTCCGCAGCTGCCATGTTTTCTGTGTGCGGCACAGCTGACTAGCACGACTATATGTTTGCTTCTCGGTTAGCACTATTTTATTTCTCTTTTGTCAAACCTTTCGATTTCGAAATGCATTGTTGCTAGGTAACGGAATAATTGAGCAGTGATTATGGCAAGACATTTGCGTATTTATTAAATATCGTTTGAGTACACAAGGTAAACTATAGCACATCCAATTTGTCCCTAGCTGTTGGCATCGCTTTAAAATGGTGGCTTAAGCAGTGCTGTGCAATGCTTGGCTGCTGACCTCAAGAAGTGACAAATTCTCGTGTTTTTTGTTTGTAACTTATAACTAGAATGAGCTTAACTCGAGTGTATTAACTGGGATTTGTACTGAAGTTATATTAGGATTTTTTTTTATATTGACTTAACTGGTTAAACTAATTTGGTCTGGTTGTCCACTATTGCATTAAAAAGCCTACCTCTTTTGATTTTTTATTTATTTATTTAACTAATAGTGCAATACTAGTATTTTGGCCTCGTTCCAATTGGGACAATGACAGAATTTACAGGTGCAAATGTTTTTTTTTTTTCTTTTTTTTTTCTTATATCTGGTTACGGTTGTGGGAATAGACAACAACTGAACCATATTGGCAACCTAAAATAACACATGGCCGATTTGTACCCCGCCCAATCGGAACTGCAATCCTATCCCGTTTGAGAAGGTTGAATATCTAGTCAGAAATAAACAAGAACACAATTTGCAATTGCAACTGCAAAAATCAGCTGCAGAGACTGCATCAAGTTGGAGTAATACATCGGAATTACATTAATTATTATTATTATTTTTTATCTAACTCATCTCTCAAGGATTACAAATAAAGACACAATCAGCTTGCCACAGGGATGAACGTTGGACAACTAAAACTAACACTGGCAGATTTATCACAATTTAATTCACGATTTTAGCTCAAACTCTTAATTTTTAATCACAAAACGTAACATTTAAAAAAAATAAGTTTAGCGTCATAATATATTGCAAAACATTAAGCCAGAATGTAAAAATAAGTTTTACGCAAGTAACTCAGGAAAACTTTTCGTTGGCCTTAAAATGGTGTGTAACAACTGATGAGATTGACAACTGTAGCTTTGAAGCAAAGTTGTGTAGTCCTTACAACAATGAAAACGGTAAATTGTTTTAGGACTGGGTTTGTAACCACGGCTAACATATGACCTCGGTCAGTTTGATAACCGATTGATTTTTAAACGTTTCGGAGCATCTGCAGCTAATTGCTAAGCAGCTAGCAGAGATTAGCAGCATGGGTGATGGCAGTGTTGTCCCAAGGCTCGGCAATATGAAGGCTCTGCTGGGAATTGTTGCGGGTGCTGGCGCTTCTTACGGACTGTACAAACTTATCAGCGGACAAGTTTTCAAGAAAACCAAGAAAAATCCCCTTAATGAAAGTCCCAGTGTGAAGAGTAGCCAGCAGGGGGGAATTAAGCTACGGCCGGGGAGTCTGCTTGCGAAAGTATCCGGACTGGATGTAGTCTGTGCCCGTCCAGATGATGCTACATCAGGTAAATATTAAACAAGTATCAAAGCTGATGGACTGCGTTCACAATAGAAAGTTAACTTCTAATCGTTTAGTTAAAAAGTGAAGTAATTAAGATTTAAATCTTGATCTGTTAACAAAATCCGTCTCGGCATATTTAGTTTTCCAGAAAACGATAACATTTTTTTTTATAACTTTCTGCATTGAAGGAGAGATCGTCCATCAATCCCCCAACAAACTGGAGTTACATCACTTGAAGATGCTGCTGTCACGTTTGCAGACCATCGATGATGTATCTAATCGGGCTCAGTTCCTTCTCACGTTGGGAAATGCTGCTGCCTTCACCGTCAATCAGGTACAATGAAACCACTTAGCACAACCAACAATGACAGACTTAGTTTCTGGGTCCTGTGGATTCTGTTTTTTGTTTGTTCCTCCCATCAAAAAATTAACTTTTTCAGTTTTATGTAGTGAATGAAAACAGATGAACAAATTAATTGCTAGAGGTGTACATTTAGTGTTATTCTTTCACTATTTCAAGGGGTGTTGTCAGAGTTGACACCTATTAAACACAGCAAATAACTGTGTTTAATAGTTAAACACAGTTATTTGTTTAACTGTGTTAAACAAATAACTGTTTAACAGTTATTTGTTTAACA